AATTGCTGCTGTTAAAGAAAAACGATGCAGTATTTATCAAGACATGGTAAGGTAGACAGGACCATCATGGTGGGTATAGGTAAGGATGCTCTAAATGCAGCATGGGCACGTGGAATTTATAGCCAAGGAGCAGGGTGGGGAGTGAGGGAATAAAAAGTTCCTAAGAGGAAATAGCAGCATAAGGAGGATTCTGGCATATGATGGGCCAGAGTGACCAACTGCGGGAGCTGTAGGATGAGGAACCTGATCAGATACGGAGGATGAAAGTCTTGCTAAACAAATTTAGCAAATTTCTTTGCTGAAGCTGGACTTAACAAGGAAGTACATAGATGAGCCTAAGAGAAGGTTCAGGATCTTGACTGTAGTTTGACCAAGCAAAAAGTCTTTGTCAATCCTTACTCTTCAAGATCAGCTCAGGAGCCAGATCCAGAGAGAAGCCCTGGGCCACCTCTGTCATGCATCCTCAAATGGATTGGCAGACTGGCTCATGGTCCCTCACCCTCACAGGGAGGGAGGAAGCACACTGCAGTGCTGGCATGAAGGCTTCTCACTTACTGTTGACAGCTTTCCCATTTCCATTCTCCCTTTTGTTCACTAGTGCTTCTCATTCACTAATGCACAGAATATTCCCTACAAGTTGATGACAACTAAATCAGTTCAAGCCTAATAATTCTTTGATTTATGTACAGTGTTTGGCATTTCTTTATGATGGGTTTAGTTTCTAGAGTGCCTTCAAATATATGTTTTTATTATATCTTAGCATATCCCTATAAGAAGATGGTATAATATGAAGTTAGCAAAAAAGTTAAGCTTCCTGTGCAAAGTGGCCCCTTAACTTTGTGGCACGTGGCCTGGAATCCAGGACCAATATGTCTTAGTTCTACCATCTTTATATCTGGGACAATTACATTTTTATGGTATTTTGATTTCCTCTTTGGCCCACAACTAATTAAGGGAAAAAAACTTTTTAAATTGTTTCGTGACATAATATTATATGTTCATGCTTTATGCATCCTTTTGTTCATTTTCAGAATTTATAGTTTAAAAAAATGTTTTTCTGTTTGTTCTGAGGAGTTCATTTGTCTTGTGTTTTTCCTTAAAACTACAGAAATTTATTGCCTCAAGAGTTCTGAGGCAAAAAGTCTGGAATCAAAGTGTGGACAGGGCTCCCTCTGAACTGTGGGGGTCTTTGCTTGTCTCTTTGTGGTTGCTGCAGCTCTTGGCCTCCTAGGTATAGCTACATTACTCCAACCCTCCATCTCCATGTGGCATTCTCCCTTTCTCTCTTTCTACACATGTCAGTGTCTTCAGAAGTGTGCCCAGTTGATTTTTAATTTGGGAGATTTACTGATGTTCTTTTTGTGGCCTAGCATATTACCAAGTTTGTAAATGTTCCACAAATACTTGAGGAACAATGGGAGTGATCTCTTTTGATTATACCTGGGTAACTCTTATCCAAAATACTTAGGACTAGAAGTGTTTGGGATTTGGGAGTAGATGTTGGTATATTTGCCTGTATGTAATGAGTCATCTTGAGGATGGGACCCATGTTTATATGTACTTTATACACATACCCTGAAAGTAATTTTATACAATATTTGTAATAATTCTGTTCGTGAAATAAAGGTTCATAGCATGGAATTTTCCACTTGTAACATCATATCAAGCCCTCAAAAACTTACAGATTTTGGAACAAATTTAGATTTCAAATTTTTGAGTTACAGTTACTGTATGAAGTTTTATATTTGTATAGTGAGTCATGTGTTCAGTTCAGACACTCCATATGCCTAGATAATTTTCATCTACTTTCTCTGTCAAAGATTGAAAGATGTAAGGTTAAGTTTCTATGATTTTTGCTAATTCTTACACTACTTGCAAGTATCAGTTTGTATTTCTTGATGATTTGTTATTCAATACACATGAATTCATGATACTTAAATTATTGTGTATGGTATCATTTTCAATATACAATAACTTTATATGACTCAGTGTTCTCCTTATAATCTTCTTTGTCATATTCTTAATTCCACTTAATAACTTTAATAATATTTTGTCCCTTTTTTCTTTTCAACTCTATATTGAATGTTTCTTATAAAAATTCTATATATGCCTTTTTTTTCCTTTTTTAACCAATTATTTAAAACCTTGTTGTCTAGTAGAGGTTTAACCTATTTCAAAATTATTAGTTGTCCAAGATTCTAAGACACCAAGACCCATAGTCATGATCCCTAGAGCTAGATATTCAGAATGGAACATAGCTAAAACCCTGAGCCAAATCATCTGACTCCAAATTCAGGGGTTGTTGAGCAGCCACCAACATGGACTCAGGCTGTGGCTCACTCCTGGAGTGTGTAAAACTGCCACTCAAAGACATCACATGACAGCTGGGTGTGGTGGTGCATGCCTGTAATCCCAGCTACTCCGGAGGCTGAGGCAGGAGCATTGCAAGTTAGAGATTGGGCTCCGCAACTTAGAAATACCCTGTATCAAAAAGTAAAGAGAGCTGTGGGTATAGTTCAGTGGTAGAGCAATCCTAGCTCCAATCCCCAGGACAGGGAGTTAAAAAAAAAAAAAAAAGGAATATGTAGCAGTTCATTCTAGGGCCTGGTGCAAAAAAGGGGCTGACCTGATGAAAGGTCTGTTAAAATAATCATCCTTCAAAGTGAGAATGTGTTGTTTTCTTGGCTGTCCAGCAGTTGGTGCTACACAAGCAGGGGAAGCTTGCTTCCCTTTGAGTGAAGGTGTGGATGCCAATATAAATCCTGAGAATTTCAAAGGCAAAACTCAATATTGGGTCTTACACACACGAGGAAAATGAAAGATAGGCATATTTAAAATCACTGGCCAAAATACTTAAATTTACACATAAAACTGGATCATATTTAGAATTCAGAAGGTTTAAGCTATCAAAATTCATTTTTAAAAGCAACGACAAACCCATAGGCAAAAAAAAAAAAAAAAAATCCTTTCACAATATTCTTTATTCACTTATCCAAAGGAATTATAATTTAATGTTAACTAAAATCAATCAAGTTAATCATTTAGTTGGCTTTAGGAGCCTTCATTACTTACTCTTTCATGTTATCTTTGTCCCATTAATTGGCTCTGGATCCATAGAAGGCCTCTGCAGAGTGTATTGTACCTGTGTCTACCTCTTGGTGGTATCTGGGCAGACAGCAAACCCCCTGAAATGCTATAAACTCCTCTCCTGGAGGAAGAGGTCACCTGTTTGTCTTCATGTTTAGTACCTGTTCTGTCAGTGTTAATAGGTTAGAATTATAAACTTTTAACGAGGATCCAGTACATTTTGAACGGTAGCAACTCATAACACTCGGAGAAGACTGTTCTTATCCTTAGTACTTCAGGTCATAGGATAACAGGTGAGGGAGACTGACCAAGGGTCAGGAAATTATTCATACTTCTTTGATGTATTATTTAATTGTCCATATGTGTATATTTCTTGCTGATTGCTTGAGATGAGCTCGATTGTACTGAATCACTATTATCAATTCCTCTTGTTTAATAATCTGCATTTTTATATGCTGAAAAGGTGAAGAGGGCTATAGGAGAGATTGACTAAATAACATTGATTCCCAACATAATGTAAGTTTAATATACATTTTGTGAAGCCTGAAGATTATTATAAAGTCAGGTAAGTGTTAATCATCTGCTGGGTGTTCAGAGCTGTGTTCAAAAAAATATAACACATATTTTGTCCCCTTGAGGCTTTTTGTGAGCAAATTATGGGAAGTGTACCATATTGCACTTACAATAATTAGAACCCAATGTGAGACAATACTTCTTAAATTGCTGAAATTTGCAATAGATAGATTGTAGCAACCCAGACAGGGAGGAAGAATCACCATGACTGGACATTTGTTAAATGTCAGGCATGTAGTGCTAGATAAATCTTATTTTTGTGTAACTATCAGAAACTCTCATGGAATATCTAATTATCCCATAATACAGAAGAGAAAACTGAAGCTCATGAAGTTTACGCCACCTGCTCAGTGTGGGTAGTAAGGAGCATGGCCAAGAGTCAAACCCTGATTTACATTGATCTCACAAGTTTATAAATTATTTTCCCACCTTTTCTAGACCATTCAGTGTGATCAGTGAGTGTTCATGGCAGGGCCAGTTTGGGTTAGGATAGGTCTGTAACAGTGGGCCTCCAGGGAGAGAGATGGTGAAACAAGGTGATAATTCAAATTGAATGAAGAGGCTCTTTGAAGAGTTGTGGCAGCAGTAAGGGAATTAGCACTGGAGATGAGGCACTTTGGGGAAAGTTACCACCTCCAGGATGGAAGAGACTCTGGGAGGGAATGGCCTGGCAAAAACACAGTGTATCTGTGGGAGAAGATTCCACCAGAAGCTGTGGCCAAGATACAGGATCCTTTGCTAAATTGTATCAGGTGGTCAGAATGGAGAGTAAGAGTAGAGGAGAAAAACCCAGACCTCTGTCTCCTCTGACCTACCCGATGCAAAGGCTCACAGGTGATCCAGCAGTTCACAGAGGTCACCCTCAGGAACTGAGCAGAGAAAGAGAAATGGAAAGTTCATCTGAGAGAGCCAGAGAAGGGCCTGTCCATGTTATCCCTGTAGCTTGAGGAGCTTGGCACTGCTCCTTTTGAACTTGTGCACATCAGACTCACCAGCCTGTGGTCTGACACAGGAAGCTAAGGGAGATGACAAACTGGCACATTGGAAACCCCAAGCATCCAGTAAAATGATCTGATCTTAACTTGATGCTCAATGGTGAACCAATTTTGTTTCACAGTGGTCAATATTAATGTTAAATGTGTCTGATAAGCCAAAGATGTAGACATGTCCTAGAAGAATGATGTAAGAAGGAAGACAAATATAAAAAAAAGACCTAACATGAATGTTTGTCCATTCAAAATGTCCATCAACCAGACATAGTCCACCTGTGGAATCTGTAAGCTGTGCAAATGTGTGTGCAGGTTGCCTTGTGGGCTCATTTGGCTCTTTCTGTGTTCCAGTGACCTATGGCATGATGAGCTCCAATGTGTACTACTACACCCGGATAATGTCGCAGCTCTTCCTAGACACCCCATTGTCTAAAACAGAGAAAACAAACTTTAAAACTCTTTCTTCAATGGAGGACTTCTGGAAGGTATTTGCAAATAACTTTGAAAGTACATATTTTTGCCTTAACTTTGTTTATTTGGCCTCAGAATTTCACTGCATGTGTATCCTCAGGGCCTGCTGAGTGTTTACTACTTTGTGAGATGTTGTAAGTCATGGTGAGTTATTCAAATCTACTGCTGCTACCTTCAAAGAAGCATAAAGTTAAGATTTATTGAGATCTTTGCAGATGCCTTATGCCACACTGGGTATTTCATACCTTCCTCATTTAATCCCCATAGTAATTTACAAGGTCAATACTGCTGCTATCCCCAGTTTGCAAATGAGATTCAGGTGTTTAAATGTGCAAGGTCACTTGGCTGGGGAATAAGAGACTTGTTCCTAGTATGACAGCCACTTTTCTGTGCCGGTTTATTATTCATTCAGCCATTCATGGTTCAGTAAACATTGAGAATCAGGAGAGCATTTTGGTTGCTCTGTGTTGCTTGGCTTTTGTGTTTTGTCTTTGTTGGTGATGACATGTATCCCCAGCTCTTGGGATGATGTTTAATACAAGGGAAGCATATTCTTTCAAAGGTTTGCCAATGTAAAATTCAACCCAGTCCCTTTCCTAGTGTCACAAATTCAACCATAGTAGCAGAGCATAAGCAAAAAGTTATATAGAACAAATTTTAAGCCAATCTGGGCAATATGGTGCTCAGTGTCTAAGAAAATTTGATGGAAATGGAAAGAAAAATGATTGATTCTCCATGGTGAGATACTTTGTAAAATTCTGACTAACCTCTGAGTAAAAACTATGGATTTAAACATACAAAAAAAAAAAAAAAAAACTGAGTCATGGGAATCTATTAATAAATAACAGTACTTGGCATCAAAAGCACATTTGTATAATATTAACATTTGCCCCTTCAGTGGAACTGGTAGCTATCTCTGCTGATCATCTGATAAAGATTACACGCTGAGAAGTGGCTAGATCTTTCTTCCCTTGGGGTGTAGCTCCTTGTACAAACTAACAAGAGATTTCTCACACATATACAATTCTGTGATAATAAATTCCAAGCTCTAAAGAGGAGGAGATATGTTGAAAGGCTCCCGTAGAGCAGGAGTCCAAACATTAAAAAAAAAAAAAAAAATCCACCAGATGATAGGCTGACAATTGACACTCTTACCTTTTAGCTCAGAGCCATGATTATGTGGAATGCTGTTTTCATAAGGAAGAGTAGAATTGATTGTGGCTGTGGACTCACACAATACTCTCACCTGACTGCCTTTAGTCCCAGAATAGAAATCAGAGTGGCCAATTATTAAGCACCCATCCTGTGCCAAGTGTACTGACAACAGAACCCCCTCTTACTGCTCTACCTTGTTCAGAGTAGCCAAAGCCCTGGTAATGCAAATATTCCAGGCAGAGGCAAGACTTGGAGGTTTTTAAAAAAACATGCCATTGGACCCGGGATGTGGCTCAGTGGAAGGGTGCTTGGCTGGCATTTGTGAAGTTCTGGGTGTGATCTAGCACCAAATAATTATAAAAATAAATAAATAAATAATGATGAAAAAAGGCAAAAGAGGACAAAAAAAGTTGTCTTTGCTTTTAGTTTGCAGAAGGCCCCTTACTGGATGGGCTGTACTGGAAGGTGCAGCCCAGCAACCAAACAGAAGCTGACAACCGAAGTTTCATTTTCTACGAGAACCTGCTGTTAGGGGTTCCACGCATACGACAAGTCAAAGTCAGAAATGGATCCTGTTCCATCCCCCAGGACTTGAGAGAGGAAATTAAAGAGTGCTATGATGTTTACTCTGTCAATAGCGAAGACAGGGCTCCATTTGGGCCACGAAATGGAACTGCGTAAGTATCTGGGACTGTGGCCACTGAGTGACATTGACTCATCCTCTGACCTCCCACTGAAATTCCATCATTTATTCTCTGATGCTTTTAGCAATTAGAAGATGCCTTCAGTGAGTCCTCAAAGCTTGTTTTAAAGCTTGGGCCAAACTGACATCTGGTGTCTTAAGTTTTCTCTACTTTTCAATTCCCTTCTAGTTTCTCTATGCATATTTCCAAAAGGCTAAATTGTTGATTGTGTGACCCACAAAAACACAAATTACCTGAGTCTTTAAACTTTTATTTAAGATGTTTTGATCCTTTTTTAAATCAGTGCATTATAGTTATACATAATATTGGGGTTTATTTTGATAAAATTATACAAGCATGGAATATAATTTACTCTAATTCAGTACTCAGTACTTCCCCCTTTACCTTCCTACTGCCTCCTCCCTTTTCCCTTTCTTTGACCCTACTGGCCTTACTTCTGTTTATTTATAGTTGTTTTTTTTTTAATCACTGTGTAATGGACATATATAAAGGTGAATTCACTTGGCATATTCATGTATGTACATAGCATAGTTTGGTTAGTTCCATTCCACTGTTTCTTCCTTTTCCTAGCCCTCCTTCTTCCCGCTTAGTCCATTTTCTCTCCTTTACTGATTTCTTCTCTGTTTTCATGGGATTCTCCCTCAGCTCCTCACTTTCCACCTTATTTTGTGGAAAGTGAGAGAAAACATTTGAGAGAAAACATTTGACCTTGACTTTCTAGGTCTGTTGGCCATGTATATATTGTCCCCTAGGTTGTTCAGTAGGAACTTTTCTGATGTAGAAATTCCTTTTTTTTTTTTTTTTAGTATTTCTTATAAATAGCTTTTTGTTTAGAATGCAATTATTTAAAGTGTAGTTATTTTGGGGCACATGAAAGTTGTACATATTTATGGTGCAGTACAATAATTTGACACAGGTTTACAATAAGTAATGATCAAATCAGAGTGATTAATATTTCCATCTCCTCAATCATTCCTCTGTGTTGGGAAACTTTGGTTTCTTCTTGTTATTTGGAGATATAGCATGAGTCATTACAGACCCTAGTTACCCTGTGTGGTGTGGAATATCAGAAGTATTTCTTCCTATCTGACTGGGTTTTTGCGCCCTGGATCTGGCTTCTTTTGTCCCCACTCCGTGATATCTCCTAAACTCTAGTGACTACTATTCTGTGCTTGAATTTTATGAGATTGATTTTACAACTTTCACATATGGACATGAACGTGTAATATTTACCTTTTTCCTGTCTTCTTTCACCTACATCACATCACGTCCTCTAGGTCCTTTTACTTTTACACAAATGGCAGGATTGCATGCATTGTTTGTTTGTTCTTTCTTTCTTTCTCTCTCTCTCTCTCTCTCTCTCTTTCTTTCTTATTGCTGAACAGTATTCCTCTATGTGTGTGTGATTTTCTAATCCATTCTTCAGTTGATAGACACTTCTTTTGATTCTGTATCTTAGCTAAAGTGAATGGTACTGCAATAAACATGGGGATGCAGAGGTCCCTTTGAAATACTGATTTAATTTCATTTGGATGAATACCCACTAGTGAGATTGCTGGCTTATATGCTACTTCTACTTTTAGTTTTTCAGGGAATCTCCATGAAAAGTGTAGTTTTTTAAAGTGTGAGCTGGTGAGGCAGGATTTTCTTTCTTTCTTTCTTTTTGTCTGACTTAAAGCCCCTGGTTTAAAATGTATGTTTATAATCCTAAGTATACATTTGTACATGTGCACCTTTGCAGGAGTTTTAGTATACTTTAGTACCCATGCTTCAAACATTTCTGCATTCTAAACTTCCTAGGTTTAGAATTATTGTAGTTATGCCAGAGAAATGGGCAAAGCTCTCAGGCTGTCTCAGGGTGGGCCTCCTGAGGTGGCTGCCCCAGGGTAAGTCACTATGGCAGAGCCACCTTCTAAGCAATGCTGAACGACTACTGTTCGGTCATCTGCATCATTTTCTTGAGAACTGAGTCACCCAGAATCCACATTTGTTATGTTCAATGGGACAAATACCTTTTTCAATGACATCTTGTCATAATTTACCTACAATTCAGTGTACATTGTATTTAGTACCAAGGCTCAAAAGTCACAAATTTAGTAGAAATCAGGAGATTAGACCAAAGGTACTAAATAATCTGAAAAGATTTTTTTCCAGGTTATGAAAGTGATTATACTTTCTAATGCTCCTTTTTCTAGGTCCTGCAAAATAATATATTTAATCAGTGGTGCCTTTTCAAATATTTTACTTTATCTCACATCATTAATAAGAAATTTTTCCAGCTCCTACTCTGTGTGAGATTCTTTATATAGATGTATTATTTTATCTCTCACAAAATATATGCATCTCGAATACAGGCATCATGTGTATTTTATATGGAAAACTGGAGACCACATAGCAAGACACAGGATGGACTTGTCCCCTTTTATCTGTGATTTTCACTGGGGACTTGGAGTCATGTAGTCCTTGAGTATAGACAATCATTAGGGAAAGTAGCAATGGAAACCGGGACTGATGGCAGAGGCTCCGCGGACAGACAGCCCTGTGTGTATTCTCAACTCTACCATCAAAAACTTTGGGACTAAATTGATCTCAGTAATCCTTAGGACCCTCAGTGCTATACTGGGGCTAAAAACTGTATGACAGTTCAATAAGAAAACACTAATGAAGTACCACATCAAGTGTATTACTCAGTATGATAAGACTTATTTCTATTTTTTTAAAAAAAATTATTTGTTCTACTTAGTTGTAGATGACAACAGAATGCATTTCCAAATCATTGTACACAACTGGAGTGCAATATTTTAATTCTGTGGTTGTGCACAGTGTAGAGACGCACCATTTGTGCAATCATACATGTACCTAGGGTAATGATGTCCATCTCATTCCACCATATTTCCTATCCTTATCTTACCAGGAACCTTGTAATTGCCATTGATATTTCACTGATTTTACCTGTTTGTTTTTGTTTTTAAATTAGTTGGATCTACACAAGTGAAAAAGACTTGAATGGGAGTAGCCACTGGGGAATAATCGCATCTTACAGTGGAGCTGGCTATTACCTGGATTTGTCAAGAACCAGAGAGGAAACAGCTGCCCAGATTACTAGCCTCAGGAAAAATGTCTGGTTGGACCGAGGAACCAGGGCAACTTTTATTGACTTTTCAGTGTACAATGCCAACATTAACCTGTTCTGCGTGGTCAGGTGTGTACTGAGGGCACACATGAAAACTCCCAATTCGGGGAGTGCCTGTATATCCTATTCTGGAGATAGGCCAACCACCTCTTGCCTATAGCCGTATAAATGAGGATCCAGGCCAATAACAAGGCAGGGGTGAAAACTGAAGTCTTAGTGGGACATGGAGATTTCAGGAAGGGATTTATGATCCTAGAATATTATGATTTGGAAAGAACCTTAAATCTAGTCCAAGTTCATCCCAGTTCAGACCCTTTTCAGAAAAAGCATCTGATTTTCTAACACCTATCCTCAGCCATTATGAGGATGAGCAGAGCTACGTGCTCCATTACATGTTCCAAGGCTGTCAAACATAGACTCTCTTCCCTGACCTTCCCACTCTCAGATGATGCCCAAGCATTAGTACATGGACAGTGTCAGGGGCTATGTCTTATGGATTCCTGCTCATGCTTAAGTCTCACCAAAGGCACCTGAGGTGAACTTTCCCTTAATGATTCCAAGAGAATTAGAAGAGGATAAAAACAGGCAAGCAGCCAACATTTAAGTCAATGTCTATCTATAAAAATTCTAGCTCTCTCTCTCACTTAGTCTGAGTATGTCCTTCCCAGACTTTAAGGGTGATGACCATCAAGGCCAGTTACTCCGTTTTCCTATGTGGCTTTCTAATTTTCTGGAAGTGGTTGCCAAGTACAGGGCCAGAATGGGTCAGAGAAAGATGACTTGACACAGAGCCACTTCCTTCCACTTACAATTGACTCTGAGGCTGTCACCAGGCTCTGCTCTCCGTATTGCTCTCTCGAAATTGTGGTCCTCACTGCTACTCTCTAGTCCTACCTGTACCAGAGGAGATAGCAATGCCTAGTAGCTTCCCAAGGGCTTTTAAATGTCTGAAATCATGGAGTTAAAGATTCTGTTTCTAATTTGATAGGAAAATGGTACCATTAAGTGAATCATTTAACTTACTTAATGTGAGAACTGTTAAATGGGAATTTTAGTTCAATCATAGGAAAGCACTGATGATCAGTGCCATCAATATGAATGGAAACATATTACTGCTTCAGACAATAGGCCCTGATTGAGAGCCTGTGAACCCCAAAGCACTGGGGAGGGGAAAGAAAGTATCCTGGAGGAAAGTATCTGGTGCTAATTAGGCATTACCTAGTAAATGAATGAATGAATGTGATGCTCAGGCCTATCTTCATAGATTGCAAAATATATATCCTACTTCTCAACCCGATCATATGTTTTAGTGCATATTTTTTATTTGGGTTTTTTTTCATGCTACCTAGTAAAATGACTTGCACCTAATAGTAGCATTAGAAAGATTTCTTTGTTGATTAACTATCCATTTTAAAAAATTGTACAGTATTTTAAACAGTACAAATGCCAGAAAAAAATAAAGGGAAGCCTGAAGAGAAAGGAATCCTTTGGATGAAGGTCTTGGGAATTCTGGTTCCTTTTATAGTACAAGATTCTACAAGTGTGTTGGTATTGGCCATAATAAAAATGATTTGCCACTAGCTTGGGTGAGCTATGGTAGCAGATTTATTACGTTGTAATTCAGAGAAAAGGGAGAAACACCCTTCTGGCTATAACCCTGTGCTGTAGTTGTTTTAATTGTTCTTATTGCAATGCAGGTTATTGGTTGAATTCCCAGCAACAGGCGGTGTGGTTCCCTCTTGGCAATTTCAACCTGTAAAGCTGATTCGCTACGTCACCACTTTTGATTTCTTCCTGGCAGCCTGTGAGATTATCTTTTGTTTCTTTATCCTTTATTATGTCGTGGAAGAGATATTGGAAATTCGCATTCACAAACTACAATATTTCAGGAGTTTCTGGAATTGTCTGGATGTTGTGATCATTGTGGTAGGTTGAAAAGCAATACCAATTTCCCTACCTTATCCCAAAAGCATATTAATTACAGTCTTTGATCTCCTCAGAACTGTGGATCTTGATATTTCCAGAAGAAAATCTAAAATTTCCTCTCTCTATTACATCCACTTCTGCATTACAAATTATTTTTCATGTGAGACCTTACTAACTATGGTGTAGAGGGGCATTTACAGTGAGCTCTCAAATAACCACACTAATCATGAGAATAACTCAGCAATTACTATTTGACTGTGGCCAGCCATATGAGATATAGGAGATAAAGTTATTTATTTGGGGTTCAACTTCTATTAAAATTTATTTACATTTTTCTGCCTATGTGTCAAGTTATGGCAAGAAGGAACATCCTGAAAATATTTTGAGCGACAGAGTAAACCTTCTTAGGTTAAGAATTTCCTGCGAATAGTCCACAGAGAACAAAATTTAAGTTATGCCCATCAAAGTTCTCTGTATAAGGTACAAGAAATCATGAAGCACAGTTACATAGTCAAGACTAAAACAACTTTTAGATGTTGTGCCTGCCCTTGACTGTATTTTAACTTCTAACAGTTGTTCAATTTGTTTTCCCTTCATTGGAGTCAATTAATTAATCACTTCCTTCCAGAGGCCTCAGTGTAAAAATGAATTGTCAAACTTGTGTCTTCCTTCAGCAATAATAGTCAACCTTTGCCTAAGTTTTGTTACACATTTAGCCATGTAACAATGCACCTAATTACTACGTGCTTAAAATTTTGAATAGAATAGTGATGTCATATTTTTCTGTTTATATATTGATCTATGCCCACTGCCTAGCATAGAAATGAACCTCAGAAATCTCAGGAAATGATTCATTATCCTGTTGGCAATCTCTTGTCTTAGCCTTCCTGATGACAGTTATTCTTTCCTTTGCTCCTCTCCCCAAAATTTATTTGGCTTTTGTGAAGCATTTACATCAAGTCAGTATTAAATCATTTCTCATTAGTATTAGTTAAGAAAACATGTCACTCAGTGAAAGGACACTTTAGGCATAAGTAAAACTGCCCAGGCATGTGTTTCATGGTAATGAACAATATTAGTACCAATCATAATAATAACAACAGTCTGCTGGTTAGAAGCTACTGTGTTATGTGCATTTCCAAGTGCTTTTCATTTACAAAAGCTTAGTTAACTTTTCCACTAATCCTCTTAATCACTCTGCACCTGCTTCTGGAGCCATGTACATTTGTGCTATAGAAAAAGGTCATACTTAGAAAAAAATTCATACAGAATAGCTACAGTCTGGAACCTAGTGCAGTCAAAACCGCCTCCTTCTTTCATGATGGCTGTGTAACATCACACAGCCCACACAAATCAAGGTGACAGGAGTTGTCCTCCACGTTTCCAATGTATTAATAATGAGTAGAGTTATAAAAGAATTTCAGTACTTAAGGAAGTAGGAGAAGCAACAATTCTGGAAATAATTTTTCAAAATATTCTCTACTAAGGGAGGGCAGATTACAGACCCTATACAGTAAGAATTATTTTGGAACACAGTTATTGTTTGTAACCCTTAAGGATGGAAACTCTCTTTTTGGACTTATATAAATATATTTGTTATTGAGAATAATGGCAAAAAGGTAAGTGTGATGTTATACTAACATAACAGATTTCTTTTAACCAGATGACTTCAGTATTGACAAAAGACTAGTTGGTAGGATTCATTGTTTTTTAACTTGTATTTCTATCAGTGAAAACTTTGACTGAATACTATAGTATATGATGTGTGTGTGTGTGTGTGTGTGTGTGTGTGCGTGCATGCTTACTAGGAGAATTTAGAAGAGTAATATAAAAATTAATACAAAGAGAATTTGAGCACTTTCTTCTTACATACCTACAAGTTTTTATGCCACACTCCAGTGAGTTGCCTTGTACCTACTATGGACACCCCTGGGAAAATAGATGGGGATATGTGGGTCAAAGATTATTTCTGTATCTTAGCAGTCACAACATTTTGCAAGTATCTTTTCAAAACTTTTTCCTGCTTTCCTTTGTTTTGGTTTAACTCTGAGTAGTTCCATGACACAGTTGAGACTGTACTTCATATAGAACAGGGAAGGACAATTGCAATTCACCTTCTTACTGAAAATTTTTTCACCAACTAGAAGTAAGGACATGCTTCCTACTCATCCCCAAATGTACCCTGAGCCAAGGATTTCTGTCATCTAGCCTAAATTTGTTTGAGTTCACCTTAAAACCTGAAAAAAATTTATATTTTAAGGATCACATTTCGCTGTTACTTTGAAATTGTTTTCACCCTTTTCTCATTCTATTTCTGCAGCAAATACTCTGAAGTCTACAGGTTTATGTCAGTCAATTGTCCTAGGCTACAGTATTTTGAAGCTAGCAGAAATATTGAAAAAAGACAATTTACAGGACTAAGTTAAAATAATGTTGATTGCTGTGTCTCAGAGCAAAGATATTTAGTTCTTCAATGGATATTTTCCAAGCATCTACTATGTATAGCACTTTTCCAGGCACTGGAGATACAGAGTCAAATAAAATAACCAAATCCTCTGCCTTTATAATGCTGACATTCTAATATGGAGAGAAAGGTCTTTTGTAGATGTGGATGAGAATCCCAGAGATAATCAGGAGTAACCTAACAACCCACATGCTCACAAACCTTTTTCTCACCTCTCTTCTTTTATTCACTATTTTGGAGGAAGTGTTCCAAGGAAAATTAATGTAACATGATATTGATGTTGTATAAACAACCACTACTTCCATGTGTTTATGAACATTTCTCCTGTGTGGAGTAAAAACATCTGGACTAGGTAGCAAATTGTACCATGTGAGAATTGTGTAGAGGGTTATTGTTGGATTTGTTCAACCAACCCCAGCATCTTTATCCCTCTCAGATGAGTCAATGTACGAGAACATTTTCAGAGAGCTCTAAGAAAATGTTCCTACCATCAGCACAAAAGTTCAAGATTGTATCTGGAAATCCTTCACTGATAAGAAAAGAAAGTGAGGTTGGCTTTTTAGCTGTGATTATCAGCCAGGTGGGTCTTTTCTATGAAAATCACCTGGTCTGGATTATTCTCTCACGAAGGTCTAATGAAGTGGTCTTTGGCCATCATTCAAAAGTAGAGGGAAGGAACAAAGAAGGTCAAAGAACCTGTCACAGCCCACGTGGTGCAGACTCAGATCCCACAGAAAGGCACAGATACTACAGTGAGCTGTTCACATAATGCACATTAGTCCAGTGGTGGTGGGTGGCAGAAGGGGCCATTGTTCCCTCCGATCTTGTATAGCTCAGACCCAAGAAACATGTGAAAAGTTGTATGTTATAAATGCAGACATAGCCATGATTAAGAAGGAACCCTTTGTTCATATACTTCACTGCAAGTTTCCTTGAGCCTCTCTGACCTTCATTCCCACCATATTCTAAGACCAAGCACATTCTGTCCTCTTTTGTGCACTCCTTTTCAGTGTGTCTGGTTTCAGCTTCACCTCATGTTGTGTGATGCCAACTCTTTAGGAGCTTTTGTATTATTTAGCTTTGTGTGTTTATGTTGTCTTGACTTAAGAGTGTGAGTTTTTGTGGAGTGAAGCTTACCCCAAGTTCACTTCCATATGTTCTTCCTGGCCCAGACACTGTGTGTACGTGCACATCTGAAGAGAAAGAATGGATGGCTGGAAACTCGAGAATGAAGAGGCACACAAGAAAATTTTAAAAACTAAACTTAAAACCAGAAAAATCAGGAAAAGAAAGGAGGGGGTAGAAAATTATTTATATGTGGGTGGCAAAATGATCAGAAGGCCTTCCTTCTCGAGTTTGGGTTTGTTATAGTGACATCTCGGGTGCATCTGTGGGTATTCATTGTATGCACAGGCCCATGGACACATGCACTTATTGGATTTCTGTTCCTAAGTAAGGAAATGCAAGCAATATATATTGTGAATGTCTTTTATGGCAGTGCCAAGCATTGCCATTTGAGTGTGTGACTTTTATGAATGCCATTGGGTGTGCATATTGGCCAGATGTGGCATCTATACATGGTGAAGAAAAATAAACTACTCATTATAAGGTAAGCTTCTTTGAAAGCAGTATAATGAAATATAAGCGTTTTGTTTTCCAGCTCTCGGTGATGGCTATAGGAATTAGCTTATATCGAACATCAAATGTGGAGGGCCTACTCCACTTTCTGGAAGATCAGAATACTTTCCCCAACTTTGAGCATCTGGCATATTGGCAAATACAATTCAACAATATAGCTGCTGTCACAGTATTTTTTGTGTGGATTAAGGTAATTGATTCAGAACATGTTCTGGGTTTTTAGTACTATTTTTTTCTTCCTTTAATTAACATGAGTCACACAAAATTTTAAAGGACTTGAACTTGCCTTTTTTGGGCAAATTCTGTGGCCAGCCAAAGCTGCTCCATAATTTATATCAAGAAAAACTAGTGGGACTCATGGGATGGTTCCTCTCATTATGGATGATGCTACTTCTGCTGCCAGAATTCTTTCAAGATCAGATCCTGTAGATGTCATTTAACACAAACAAAAGAGGCCTTTTCAGTGTTAGTTGGGCTTGGGGGACCAGGTTACCCTAACACTGGGGCAGATCTGAGTTTTAACTTATGTAATGTGACCAGGAGATGAAAAGGAACTGAGAGAGGGGATCATTTGCAGGAAATGGAGAGATGCTGCACCTGGAAATGCTTGTTAGAACAATCTGCTTTACCCAGAATGTCAGCTGGGACAGACCTTTCCTCTAAGGAGGACCTAACTTACTCATTTCCCTCTTTTCACAAAACATAATGTGTATTTTCAGGTGTGTGAAAGGTTAGGACATTTTTATATATAATGAGCCTCATTTTGGGCGATGCAGGAAATTTCATTAATTTTGAAGCAACCATCAATTGGATTCCTGTGCCATTTACAAACAGCTCAAGTTCTGATTGTGCTGTACAGACAATAACTGCTGGCTACAGGTGGCTATTTACATTTCACTTTCTTTCTTTTTTTTTTTTTAAAGAGAGAGAATTTTTATTTTTTTATTTTTCGGTGGACACAACATCTTTGTTTGTAAGTGGTGCTGAGGATCGAACCCCGGGCCACACGCATGCCAGGCGAGCGCACTACCGCACTACCGCTTGAGCCACATCCCCAGCCCATTTCACTTTCAATTAATTAAGGTTATGTGTAATAAAAATTTCAGTTCCTCATTCCCACTAACCACATTTTAAATGTGTAATGTCTCTGTGTTAATAGTGTATACTGTTTTAGGAAATGGAACTAGTAGAACCTTTCCACCATCACAGAAGGTTCACTTGAACAACTGTTGAGGAAGGTGCTTACCAAGAGCTGTGTATTTTCCTGAATTGTTGCTTTACCCTGGAAGCACTGAGGTTTATCAGAGGGCATAGACCTCACCTTGTGTTTCTCAGGCTGCTTACTCAGCTATATGAGAAAACCATTGCCACATAATTGATGCCCAAATAAAAGATAGTTACTGATACACAAATAGTATTTCCTGAAATGTTTTGTGGTGTTTATTTGTTAGAGATTTTTTTTTTTTTTTTTTTTTACATTTTAATCCTTTTTTGAGGAAAAATATCACTAGTCATTGAAACTGTGAGGAAGCCCTTTTCCATGATATGTTAATCATCCTGGAAAATGTGACCACATGAGGCTGCAGCTGTGTTCTGTTCCCTGCTTCCAACTCCAAGAACAGAGCCTGTCATGGGTTAGGGACTTAGCAGACCCTTTTTGAATAAAAGAATAGAAGAGCTGGTTTTGGAAAACAATAAAACCAAGTCCTTTCTGTCCTCTCTCTTTTGGTCTTACTGTGGTTAAAACACATAACACAAAACTTGCCATTGTCACATTTTAAAATGTGAAGTGCTGTGGCACGAAGGACATGCACAGTGTGGGGCCACCATCACCACTGTGCACTACCAGAGCCTTATCATCCTAAGGTGCACATCAGCACTAACTTCCCATCTCCCCCTCACCTCAGCCCCTGGTAACATACTTTCTGCTTTCTATTTATTTTACCAGTCTAAGTGCCTCATATATGTGCAATGGTACAGTTTCCACCTTTCATGACATAGTTTCCCTGGGAATGATGTTTTCAAGGTCTGCATGGTAATATGTACCCAAATCCCATTCCGTTTTGTGGCAGAATAATATTCTATTGTATGTATGTGCCACATTGTGTTTATCCATTCACCTGTCACTGTCTTTCCTCTTTTACAGCTCTTCAAATTCATCAATTTTAACAGGACGATGAGCCAACTGTCTACAACCATGTCTCGTTGTGCCAAAGACCTCTTTGGCTTTGCCATTATGTTCTTCATTATATTCTTAGCCTATGCTCAGTTGGCGTACCTCGTCTTTGGTGCTCAGGTTGATGACTTCAGTTCTTTCCAAGAATGTATGTAAGTATATATGAAATTAAGAAGAAAAATATAATCAGAGATGTTACTGCCTTCTCAAGGATTAAGAAATCTTCACAGTTGCTATTTGAGCACTATGGAAGAATTAAAAATGTTTATTCAAAATAAAAATGAGTCACCTTTTCCAGAAACATTTACCTACCAATGCAAAGTTGTTAATACCTTCTGAAATGCTGATGCTTAAGATAGCTGCCCTCAGGTACTAAGATAAAGTGGAATAGCCACAGAAAACCACTATTCCAAGACCAAGGTCTTCCTGGCTCCCAAAGTACATGAGAGTCTTTTAAAAGACCATTTTTGTATATTTTCATTCTTGATAAATAGGTTGCCATACATTTTGAACTTCCAGTTATTTTATAAGTAAAAGAATAGATATTTCTAATATTCTAGGGGAAAATTCAGAGTACAGAACTTTTCAGTCTTTTTCCAGAGTTCCCAGATACAGGAAAAACAAAACCAACAAAAGAGTCCATATCGGATTCCCGTGCCATTTACAAAGGGATTAGTAGTTAGGAAAGGAGAGGAATAACATGACATTGAAGTTGATAGGGCTTTGTGCATGGGGAGTCCTAATTCACCTGGCTGTTTGATCAAAGTCAGTGAAGGAAATGATTTTACTAAAACCCAGCACTCAAAATGTCCAGTCACTTTCACTTCATTTTGAATTAATGTGAGATTGTTGAATCTTTGAACACATGTAATCTAGCCATCCTTTAAAAAATCTTTTCTTTTTTTCTCTTAAGAGATATTGTCTTCAGGTCCAGAGTGACCATTGTGGAGATATAGAAAGGCCATATTTTAGCCAGATTATGTTTTAGATTGTTAAAGCCAGTTGCTATACAAGTTACCTAGTAATAATTACATTTAATATTAACCAGATGGAAATAATATGTAGCATGAAAGCATATTATTATTCCAGAACACTCCCATTGCTGACATAAGCAGCAAGATTTTTCTAAAGGACTTGAATTTTTAATTATTTGGGAGCTATCAACACTTCCATAACAATCCTAAAATGTGAAATCATCTTTAATAAATGTTGCATCAGTTGCGGGGCATTCTTTGTTTCTGTATTGTGGTGTTTTGTTTTGTTTTTATAGCGTCACTCAATTCCGTATCATTTTGGGTGATATCAACTTTTCAGAGATTGAGGAAGCTAATTGAGTTTGGGGACCACTGTATTTCACTACCTTTGTGTTCTTTATGTTCTTCATTCTTTTGATATGTACACTTTTGTTTATAGTGAGGGGATTTAGATTTAATGTTCAAGAATCACCATCTTCTCTTTTTTTCCCTGCTCTATTCTTCATTATTTTAAATAGAGACCAGGAAGTAGAACAAAATGTTGATTTTGGAAATATTATTTTACATTTCATTCATTCAAAGTTTTAAGTCTTAACAAAATATTTCTTTTCATTGCCTTTCATTTATTCATATGTGTTTCTACTCAAAGAAAAAAAAGTTAAAACTTAAGTGCAAATTTATTATATTACTTAAGATAATACTTTGCCTCAAAAGTAGAATATGCTCACTCACACTTTTTTTTAACACAAATGTCAATACTTCATAGTCACTTGCTAGCATTACTTTTCATTTTACTCTTCTTTTAAAAAGTAAAATAAAAGGGACAAAGAAAGCTAGATCCAGGATATCAGGAGTAGTATTTGAGTGAATTATTACATTCCACGTTTGTGTGTGTGTGTTTTGTCTTAACATTTATACATTCACTTAGTCTACTGAAAAGTATTAAAGTAACTCAGTTTAACTTAGGCACTGGGTATTTTTCATATAACACTCAGATTTAATGATTGCCTTAAGAATCATCTTAAGAAAAGAAGTCATTTCCATTTTCAGTAAATTTTATAAAGATCCTTTGTAAAAGGTTGAATGATGACATTTGCAGTAATTGAGGGTAGCATTCTGAAGGTGGGCCCAGGTATTTCTGGTTAGGAGATGGCATTCACTGATAGAGTCATGATGCTCTTGAACAGGCCCTGAAGGTGCAGCAGTTTCAAGCAAGTCCATTTGTATCTTGCTGTGTGCAGGCATCCTGGCTAGGTTGTGAACTGAATCCTCCTAAGTGTCTCCTTCCTGTTATAAATAAATTAGCTGAAGCTTAAGCCTTTGTCACCCTCTCACATTGGTGGTGCTTTGGATTCTGGGGCACCTGAATGTCTCCTCCAATAACAGACCAGGAATTGAGAGTCCTGCAGTAGATCCTTCGGTTGACCTCAGGCCACCTAGTGTTCTCAGTGATCAGTCTGCCAAATGAGGGACAAAACTATGATGATATGAACTGCTCAGATGAGGACTCGTTTCAATATTGTACTTCAAAAGGCAGCACCTTGAGATCATTCAGTCATTTTATTGGATCAATCTGCAGAGCAGGAAAACAAGCTTTTAGTTTTTGTATTTGTATTAAAATATAAGCTTTTCAGTGCTGCATTTTCCCTGCATCTCATAGACATACATAGTTGGATAAATGGATAGGTAATAGACAAGAGGCTACTTTCAATACAAACTTGTCTGTTAAGCAAATAACAAGCTGACTGTAGTATTGGCTCTCTTTGAAAGTTTACTGCCTGGTATTAATTCATTGCCTCTGTTTAAAAATAATCCATGTTGGTGTGAAGAGGCTTATTTGAGTCAGGACCAGAATCACTCTCCCCCATCTCCCTACACACAGGGAATGATCTCCTAGTACAGAGGCCCATTTGACAGCTAGGTGACCCTGGTGAGACTGGAAAAAAGTGAACCTCCTCTCCCACCCCTTCAGGAGCCTTACTCTGCCACTATACTTTTCAAAATGTCTTCAGAGGACCCACCCCTTGAACCCATTTCAAATAAGACATTTGCGAGCATCATGTAGCCACTGGAAAGCCAGAATACAATGGTAGACATCTGGGTTGGAAAGAAGAAAGGTGGAAGACATTCTGACTGAAATTACCCTCCAAATGGAGCCTTTAGCAAGGAATTTATTTGTATTCTATATTCTGTTCTCACAGCTTCAGAACACTAGTATTCTTTCTGATGGAGAATCAGTAGCCTTCTAAAATGAGAGCCCTGTTTTGTTCATGTATCAATGAATCAATAAATATCGACTCCATCACTTTATCCCTATAATATTACATATAGCGTATAGTATGTATAAATGTGTATTGCACAGTAGGAGGCATATGGGTGATACCGAGGATGTCATGGTAAGGCAAGCAGAGCCTGAGTCTGCCCTGATGAAGAGTTCATGGACTTTTATGTGGGGAAACAGAAAAAATTACACATACCACTCTATCCTTGCAAACCGAAGTTAGGTACAAAGAGTAAAAACATATAAAAGACCTAAGGTTTGCAGTGCTTGGAGATAGTTAATTGCAATCAGATGCTGTGACTAGAAAGCATTACCATTGGGGAAGGAAAACTCAGGAGAGTGAACAAAGTAGAAGCCACTGAATGATAATAATAAGTGCAAATAATTTAGCCCTTGCCTTGCAGTAGGACACATCCTGAGCATTTTGCATTGTGTTGTATTATCCCATACTACTAATCTGTGAAGGGAAAAACTGTAACTTTCCATTACATAAATGCAAAACATATCCTAAAAATGAAACTTAAAAAAGTTGAACCATATAGTCTTAGCAGTTGCAAAACTGAAAAACAATTTTACTTAACTACAAAGTCTATATCTTTCTGCAAAGTTTTCTTCTTTTTTTCTCTTAACTCTTTGTCTACTGAGTCTATTATATTCCTATTTACAGAGATTTTTTTCCATATTTTTATTGGTGCATTATTGTTGTGCATAATGTTGGAATTTGTTGTTACATATTTATACATGCACATAATATAATAATATAATTTGGCCTATTATTTGCCATGATCTTTTTAACTCTTTAAAATATATTGTATAAATATCAAATATGATCATATAAAAATTTGATATAAGCATAGAATTCTACTTGTTTGTATTGACTTTTGATAGTTGAAGAGCTTTTTACAGATCCATACGCATAATAGTTTATGTGACTTTTTTACATGTATGGAACAAAACAAGCAACTTAAAATAATCCATTCTTATTAGGTAAAGATATTAATATTTTTCTGCCATTTTTCTGTCTCTTTTTGTAAAACATATCAAAATACATGGTTTTATAAGTAATAATATATAGTGTATTTTCCTTTGGCATGACTTAATGGGGAAATTTTTTTTGAAGAAGATGGTAGCAAAACTACTTATGACTTCATAAAGCCTTCTAATTGAGGGAAAAAGTGTGAACCAAAAAGCATGTGTCAAATTGAATTAATGTTTACAAAATATGTTTAGGCTTGGTCTCTTAACCTCTACGTTTCTTTGATTTACAAACAGAACATGTTTCTGGCCATCATCAATGATACCTACTCTGAAGTGAAATCTGATTTTGCCCAGCAGAAAGCTGAAATGGAGCTTTCAGACCTCATCAGAAAGGTAAGATAATCCCAAATTCTCTGAATTTTAAGATTTCCTACTTAAAATAATAATTGTCTCAAATTTCCTAATAAATAATAATACATTGAAATTATTTTAAATAAGGAGTATATTACTATATCTTAGGACTAATTTAAATATTCTCTATCTTGGAGGCTTGAAAGCCGTGCTGCTGGCTTGAAAGTCAGGGAGTCTTTTTATTTCCTGAATTCAACTCGAAATAACCTTGTTGACTCTTAGGGTCTGAGCTCCTTTGTATGTTTGGACATTCCCTCTAATCCACTGTCACTTCCAGATCCTGAGCTCAGAATAAACTGGAAGTCAAGAGTATATAAACCCATTTCCAGCTTTTCTATATCAATTACCATATTAAAAAAGAAAAGGTTTTAGATGCC